TCTGCCCATCACAACTTCCTCACTGAATTTTTGCTTATTTTTCCCAGGCCCCCTGACAATCCATCCACCCTCACTTTCACATGCTTGACTTTTGTAGAAACCTAATGTTGTCGTTGTCTTACTCTAAGATCTTCAGTTGTTCCCATGATCTACAAGATAAAATCTAAACGTCTTTGTAAGATTTGAAAGCTCCCTGCCTACCTAACTTCATTTTTACCTTGCTTGCTAATTCCGCTCTTCAGGTCACCCTCTAGCAGCAATGTAATACTTGTGGTTTCCAAAACATGTCATACTCTGTCATGCCTCTGTATACTTCTATTTGTCATTCTCCTATTCCCTCTGCTGCTTTTACCCCATCCATATGGAAAATTCCTGGTCATTCTTTCAGACTGTTCAAATGTTATCGTTGATCTTAGGGCTTCCCTGTCTCTTGTAGGCAGATGTGGGACCCCCCTGCTCTTTCCTACAGTGTACATCCTTCCCTTGCTTGTAAGAATACTGTTACTGTTATTTGGGGTCAGGACTTGGATTGTTTTCATCCCCGACACTTAACATCGAATCCAGCACATTGTAGCCCAATCATCTTTGCTAAGTTAGCCTACCGTTTTACCTAACCTCCCATAATGCTATGGCGTAACTCTTCTTTCTGCCTCAATACCAGTTCCTCAAATGTATTCTATGGAACTCTAGTGCCCCTACAAAAGACTTGTATATTATAGAGTTAGGCTTTAGAGAGCTATGTGAAATGTACATTTTGTTTTCATTGTAGTTTTAGGAAAGAAGTTCATTTTTTCTTTTCCCTGACAGTCTCTTATCTTTAGTTCCGTAATGATTCTCAAGGACAAGCAAGTTCTGTAAAAGAAATAAATCACCTAAATCACCTAAAATGAGCAATTTCTATTTGTTTTTACCATGATCTAGATAAAGAACATCAGCAACAACAAAAACAAATCATATGCATATACAACTAAAACATTAACACAATTACCACCAAATTTACTTATTTCAAACCCACCTCTGTTTAACCTGGATTATTGCCAACGAAATAGCACACATTTTGCCTGTTGTTTTTATTTACATTGGCAGATTGGCATTGGTTCTGTTATTTTAAACAGTTTGACTTAGAGAAAACTAACTGTTACAAGGGAAAGTTTTGGGAAATAGTCAGTGAAAAAGTAAAGCACCAATCAAAATCCAATCAGGAACACAGGAACCATACTATGGTACTGAGGGAATTTAATAATAGGGTATTGTTACCCAGGGGTTGGAGAGGGTCTCCACACCCTAAAGAGGGACATTGAGGTAATCCAGTGATGTAAATTTTAAGGAGTCATTTTTACCTTTAGAGCAGGTAAACAAAAGGAAAAGGTTGGGTTATTAAAGCTCAGAGGAGGGTTCCTGTTGAGGGCTCAAACTTCTGAGCGGTGGGCACTGCCCAGTGCTGGTTCTTAGAGTATACAAGGATGAGGCTGGAACCAACCGGTGATGACAGTGAAAAGGGCTGTTACTCCTGACGGGATGCTGTTAGGAGCAGGAAGCAAACAGAAAGGAACGTCTCTTTTCCCCTCTGCCTTCCACCCTCCCTCCAGGGACTTCTATTGATAGAACCCACCAGGAAGCCAGCTGGCAAGGGAGACATATAGTTTGGAAAGCCCCAACCCCAGTATTACAAACCCAGAGTGTGGAAGGGTCAATACGGAGTAGAGAGATGATAGCTTAATACATAGCATTAGGAGTAATTAAATAGAGTCATAAGTAATGGTCATTAATCATCTTCCAGCTTAAAAACTTCAACATGATCATATACTCCAAGACCTTAAAAATTAATAAATTAATATTCTTCTGTTGGGTTTGTCTACAATTAAACATACATTAGAATATGTTATGTCACTACATTTATCATTTAGTTGTCTGGGATGACATAAGTCTGGGACTTAGATGGCAGATATTGTTTTAGATGTTTGTGTTTCAATATAACATGTCAGATTGTGAGTGCAATGAAGGAAATAAAGCAAGTTAAGGGGGATACGAACTGGGGGTAGGGACACCTCTTTCATATAGGGTGGTGATAGAAGATCTCAATGATAAAGTGAAATTTGAGCAAAGATCCAAAGGAAATATGAGGGAGAAAGCAGTATGAATATATAGGTGTGGGGGGGATCCTTTCAGTGGAAAACAGTTGCATTTGATAAATGCAAGATTGGTGAAGATCTTGTAAGTAGGTGGACTTTTTTGTGGGTTTACAGTTTAACTATTTGCATAGTTCTGCTTTAGAAGACTGCGATTCTAGTAGGGTGACATCAACTTATTATCAAATATAGTACCAAGTTCAAACATTCCACAAAGCATTGCTCATCTCTTCCGCTGAGGGAGAAGCTATACTTCTTCACGCAGCAGGTTATAAAAAATTTGCTGATGGTGAGGGGAATAAGCTGAGTACATAATGGCCCACCTTCCCTATAAAATACTTTCTTTGTTTCAGAGTCAGCTATGAAATTCCAATAATAGTCTCAAACCTTTAATTTGGATTATCTGAGTAAATGTAAAATGCCCAGCACTGTACATAATTACTTCTTTGTTAAGATGTCAACCTTTGTTTTTTAGTTAAGAATTAATGAACCTCGATAATTGGCCAACAGTCTTTGAGGCAGAAAGTGGGATGGACACCATCAATACACTTAACCCAAAACAATGAAATCATTGTTGGCAGTAGGATCATGTTGCCTTTTGTTCAGATAATTTTCTTCTTGGAAAATACATGCATACTTTGGATTTAATGGTGCCAGAAATATTAATAAGTTAGCTATAATTATTTCTGAACCTGTTTGTCACTCAAACAATAAAGGTGAACTTATCTGTAAAGTTAGGCAACTAAAAGGATATAAAACCCAGTAATATTCTCATGACAAAGGTTTTGTTTTTAAAGTCAACAGCAATTCTGGCCCTTGAGAGAAAATGAACTGTACCGTACAATATAAAATCTCTTTTTGCAGCTAGTAATAATTTCCAACAGGAAGGTTTGGGGTGAGTATGTCTTCATTTGAGGACAATGTAATTTAAGACTGGACACTTTGAAAGTAGAAATTTGAGGTACCTCAGTAAATTTGTTTTTAACTTTAAAAGGAATCTTGAGGGGTCAGTGTGCCAACTGGAAGGCAAGAACTTGGTTCTGGCAGAAAAATCACCCCATACAGCTTACATTTTCAATTAACCTCTGTGCCTAGGTTCCTCTTTGGGAAGGGATAACAGTCATTGTTGCCTTCCATGGGAAGCCTGTACTTTGACATCCTGGCTGAAGATGTTATATCAACACAAGCGATTAACATTAGAACATAATGCATGTATGCACATAAAACACCAGCATGGTGCTCTTTTAATGCTTATATAACATCTATAAATACTGCTCTTCCACGCTCTCTCTTCACTTTAGGTCAGAGGAGAGTATAATCATAACATGTCACTAATCCAATTTCTCAAAATATGGAGGAAATATATTTTTTAAAGCTCCGTATCATCCTTTTGAGAAGCACTAAACCTGCTAATCCCTCATGGTCTCTGTAGCAATTGCACAATGGCCCCCCATATTAAGCCTTTGGCATCTTTTCAAATGTTGGCTAAATTACTTCTCCTGGAAACTGGACCGATCATGGTAAGGCCAGTGGAATGAAATTGGCTAGCGATATTACAATTTTGGTTGTTTAACATTTAACTGACTCTCAACAACGTGTCTAAGTGTTATCTAAACAGATAATTAGCTAGTCGCTGCACAGTGGGCTTTATCTAAATTTAGCAGTGAAATTAGGTTTAGAGAATGAGAAAATAGGAAAAGAAATTTTCTCAAGGGAAACGGTGGTGTCAGCACAGCTGAGGAATGTCACAATAGCTACATTTCGTCAATTAGGATCATCATCAGGGGTTCTCCAGTAGAGACGCAGGACAAGGTTTATTCACAAGCGCATCCTGAGGATAGGCGATGGAAAGGAGTGGCTGGAGGAGACAGGCTTACAAGGGACGACAGAGACAGGCAGAGAAAGAGAAGAGAAAGGGGGTGGAAGAAGAGAAGGCACTAAACCAGAGCGCTGGGAGACAGGATGGGAGGCGGAAGTTAAGAAAAAAAGAGAGGTAGGCAGGGGTAGAATGGTGTGTAGCTTTGGAGGTGAGTAAAACATTGCAAATCAGTGGGTGGAGGGTGGGGGAACCCTAGTGATGGAAGGGGCGTGCTCTTGGCGGCAGGCAAGCATTAGTTTTAGCTGCGATAGGCGGCTAAATCCTTGTTCGACTTTTCTTCTTGTTGGAGCCACATTTACGACTATCTGGTGGAGATGGCAGGACCTACATACAATTAGTTAATGGTATCAGGACTGAGGACGTGTCTTCTGCCTCCAGCACCCCTCGGGACAGTCCAAACTGTCCACCGCCCCAGCAGAACCGCCAGGGGCTGTGGCTTCAAGGTCAGGCCACCAGGGCTGTGCGTGGCGGGTGGATGAAGAGGGCAGAGCGCGCAGCCATCTGGCGTGAGGGAGGGTCGTGGTGGATCCCAGACCTCTTAGGGCCAAATGCTTAACACTTCCCCAGGTCCCTTTACCGCGGTCAGCTCAAAGGAAAACAAGCAATGAAAATAAAATTACACGTGCGAACATGCAAATGAAACAAAACCAAAGAAAAACACCACCGCACTCTAGGCGCTCCGATGGGGGAATCCATGGCCTCCTGTTGCCAGTCGCCCGGCGAGGACAGCAGACAGCCCGGCGGCCGGAGAAGCAAGAGCGAGAAAGCAAACCTTCTGGGGGCCCCTCTCCTCGCTCGGCTCCGTTGACCCCTCCACCAAACCGCCCTCCCAAGAGAAAGGAGCAAGAAAATCGCCTGTGCAAACAAGCCTCGGAAGGCTGGGGAAAGTGGGGCTGGGAAGAAAGAAGGGATTCGGAGAGCGCCGCTGTCCCGGGAAGCAGGAAGGAGAAAGTCTCTCCTTTCAGCCCCCTGCGTCCCTGGCGAGGAGGGAGATGACTAGTTCTCCAGGCTGTGTTCAGCTTCCTAGACAGGGACCTTTAGCGTGGGCAACGGAAGGGCAGCCCATCCTGCCATTCCCTCCTCACCACTCCCCCTCCTCCTGTCCCGGCACCCCGCCAGAGGGAGAGCGCGGCCGGGGCGAGGCGAGCAGCCAGCACGATTGTCCCACCGCCCTCCGCCTCCGTCAGCGCCGGGGCAGCGGTGGACCCGCGAGGGGCGGAGTGGGCGAGACCATTGGAAACATTTGGAAGGGGGGACGAGGCGGGGACGAGGCAGGAACGA